ACTTGCAGCAGACCTAAGTCTGGTGGAGCTTAAGGAAAGGTGGGGAGGCCAGGAATTGAACCTGGGTCAGAGGGTCTTAGGTGCAAGCGCCTTTGACCACTCAACCACCATGCCACCCCACCATTGCACCATGGTGGCTTATATAGCTGCCTGAAGGCACAGGCATGGGGGTGGAAGGATGGGGGAAGACTGGCTGGCACCTGGGATTCAAGCTAGTCAGCTCCATTTGCTAGGTACTGCATATTTCACTTAGGACAAAAAACAGGATGCATTAGATTCATATCAGGGCAGTCATAAACCTTGAAAAGTCCATCAATTGGCACCCTTTGGCAGGCATTGCCCAGGTCACATAGGGGCAAAGCACATAATACACTAGATTCACATCAGGGCAGTCACAGGCCTTGGCTGGTTAGTCAATCTGATGTTGTGGCAGGCATTTTACAGCAGAGATTTAGTCTCTTTTTGGCAAAAGCCAGGAGGAGGAAACCCCTACTGCACCTTTTTTTGGCAGGGGGATCCTCATAGACAAATCAGCTGCCAACCTGGAATAGTGTGAGACTTTTACTCATTAACAAGGGAAATGTAAATTTTTGTCCACCCTTAGCCAAGCTGAGACTTATAGGGTAGGTAGGGACAGGTGTGCACATTTACTATCTCATGGGGTTTCCTGCAAAAGTTTGTTTTGGCTGAGAAACTGGGGTTCAAGGTTGCTTTGGAAGGTATAACTACAGTGACAGGCAAAACTGGCTAAATGTTTATGGGTTTTGACTTTGGAGCCTAATATCTCAGCAACTAGTAGAGCCAGCTCAGCCAGTAAGGTATCATTGGATAGGCATTGAAATACAGTAGTTACAACAAGGGTTCACATGTTTTTTAAACTCAGCTTCTATTAGTTATACCTCAGCCAATATCTAACCAAATCAAATGATATTTTCATGGTTTGGTTAACTAAACTAAATCTAAAACATATTAAAATTTCAGCTTAATCAGATTAGATTTGGCTGACATAGTTAATCAAAGGTAACTCAAACATGCGAACCCTTTCTGTAATACTTGATTTTCTAGCAAAACTCTCCTATAATACTAAGTAAAGGAATA